ATTAAATTAGATTACATCCGTGTTTCTCATCAAACAATTACAGGTCTTATACTCATTACAAAACCAATTCTGTGTATTTCACTATCGTCATATTTTTGTATTTGCGTTTTGTTTTTGCTGAACGCATTTCTATGTTTTTCAACTATTGGAATACCCAACATTCAAACATTAAATTTACATGTGAACCAACAAAATATTGTTCACTGCCATTTCCAGATAACATGATTGCAACACCTGTAAATTAACTCACCACAGCGGTACATGGGGGAAGCTGCTTGTAGGGGATTAGCAAACAAATTTACAACACCCCCATCTATGAATTTACAACACCCCCATCTATGAATTTACAACACCCTCATCTATGAATTTACAGCACCCCCATCTATGAATTTACAACACCCCCATCTATGAATTTACAACACCCCCATCTATGAATTTACAACACCCCCATCTATGAATTTACAACACCCCCATCTATGAATTTACAACACCCCCATCTATGAATTTACAACACCCCCATCTATGAATTTACAACACCCTCATCTATAAATTTACAACACCCCCATCTATAAATTTACAACACCCTCATCTATGAATTTACAACACCCTCATCTATGAATTTACAACACCCCCATCTATAAATTTACAACACCCCCATCTATGAATTTACAACACCCCATCTATGAATTTCAGTTTACATAATCAAAACACAGAAGGGGTACTTGTGAGCCCCGTTACCTGTACCCAGCTGAAGGGGTACCTGGTTGATGGGGTTCTCGGGGTTCTTCTACTCCCCAAGCCCGGCCCGAGGCCAGACTTGACTTGTGAGAGTTTGGTCCACCAGGCTGTTGCTTGGAGCGGCCCTCAGGCCCACATATCCACCACAGCCCGGTTGGACCGGCACTCCTTGAAGGAAACAATCTAGTTTCCTCTTGAAGATGTCCACGGTTGTTCCTGCACGGTACTACTGAGCTCCGTTACCAGCACCCAGCTGAAGGGGTACTTGTCAGCCCTGTTACCTAGAAGCTAACGAGGCTGACAAGGGAAAATAGGTGCTGCAATGGATAAAGAAGCACCTTTCAGACAGAAAACAGAGAGTCACAGTGTAAAGACAGATCTCAGAGAGTGGCGGGATGCCACTACCAGCGGCAAAATCTTCAGGGGGTTCAAATACAGGACAATAACATTCCTAATCTATGTAAATCCCTGACCAAAGGAAATAGATTCCTTCCTAACAATGCTCGCCAATGATGGCAAAATTATCACGAGGAGGACAATCACCACGAAAGACTACAAGAAACCACCAAATGACCTCAGAAGAGGTCTTGGTGACCTCTTGGGTCACCAAGAGGCTGCTATTACTTAACGCATGCGAGTTCAAAATAGTGAAGCTATGGAGTTCGAAACACCAGGCCAGACGCCACATACCCGGATCAGAGGAATAAAACCCGCTGAAATCTGACATAAATAATACTTAGGTACCATTACACCGAACATGTTACCAGAGGACAACATAAACTGAATGTCATCAGCTACATATGCGAGGTCGGGAAACATTATCATAGCCTTTATGAATATGTATAGGTATACAGGCGGTATATACAACGATCTGAACGTTGTATACCGCATGTGTCAGACCAGTTCGGGTATATACGCAACCAACGTCGAGTCGTTATATCTCGTTAACACAAATCGATGCTAGACTAAGTTTAGAATATGCGGCCAGAGTAGCCCCAGTGCTGAGACGATTGGGCTGCAAGTATAGACTACAGGAGTTAATTAAACCACACGTCACTAGAAGAGAAGACAGAGGGTAGACATGATCATGGCATACAAATTTCTCATGGGAAAAGACAATGCAGAATAATGACAGACTATTTAGCATGGTTAGTACCCGAACTAGGGACACAGAAGAGAACCAAGAACACGAATAAAGCAACGGAGACATTAGGAATTTCGTCAATGACATTATACTGAATCAATATAATGTCTGATAACCATCCCACTCATCAGAAAATTAAGAGACGACGACGTTTCGGTCCGTCTTGACCCGTGATGAGCCAAGACGACCCGAAATATCGTCTTTTCCCCATTTTCTGATATGTGGGTTAGATATCAGATCTGCAGCCGCGATAGTCTGACTCCTCGTCTGCAGACAGAATGCGCCATAGAGCAGCGCCATATTGGCAAATTCCATACACAGTTCAACTGTGTATGGAATAGAGTCCAATACACTGTGATACCTACACGGTAGTCGCATTCAGGTCCGCGAATCGGGATCGAAGAGCATTCCCTTCAAGCCCTAAGAAGACCACGTAGGTGAGTACAACTAGATGAGTACACAGACGGGTGAGTATTCGACCCCCACCACAATCCCTCCCCCTCTCTCCCCCAACATCCCCGCCAACCCTCCCCCACCCACCAAGAGCGGCCGTAGCACCACACACATAAGCACAACTGATCGCCAATAAATAGCGAAAAGTCCGCCGCTCAGGAGCGATAAACAGTGGAATGGGCTCAGAAATGTTACATTCAGCTGTCATCTTCCAACGATTTAACGCGCTGCCGACACACGACTCTAAGTTTACTCAAGTTCTCTCTCTATAGCTCCAAGTTTGGCCCGGAGTTCATCGAAGTCTCCCTCCCCTCGCCCCTTTAAACACCATCATTGTATTTGACGTCTCCCATCAATTCTCACTCTGTTCAAAGTCCACCCATTGTCAGAGTGTACGATGTCCACCCCACCTCCTTCCCCCTTCGCCCCCTTTCCTTGTCATTCTAATGTCCCACCGTCAGTGCTCACTCATCCTTGATGTCACTTTACCAACCCTCACTCTTTCTGAACGGCTCCGATCCTATTGTCGCTCGGCCGGATATCTCTCCTCCTCCCTATCCACACTCTATCCACAACTGGTAATGGAACACGGCATCCCTCTGGCTTATTACAACGTGAAGTAACGAATGCGTTTGGTCACATAGTGGGGTGGAGGCATATGTGACACCGTCTACATAGTGTGGTGGAGGTATGTGTGACACACCGTCTACATAGTGGGGTGGAGGCATATGTGACACCGTCTACATAGTGTGGTGGAGGCATATGTGACACCGTTTACATAGTGTGGTAGAGGCATATGTGACACCGTCTACATAGTGTGGTGGAGGCATATGTGACACCGTCTACATAGTGTGGTGGAGGCATATGTGACACACCGTTTACATAGCGTGGTGGAGGCATATGTGACACCGTCTACATAGCGTGGTGGAGGCATATGTGACACACCGACTACATAGTGTGGTGGAGGCATATGTGACACCGTCTACATAGCGTGGTGGAGGCATATGTGACACCGGAGAGACGAATCCTTCACAACACGTCCGTCAGAGCCCCCAAGACACACAATGCTCACAGAAGCCAATACTCATAATATGTTGTGATATTTTTCTGTGGAGCTTCATCTGGAACTGAGCACATTACGACACACTGAAGTTTACTGGAGCTGATCTGAAAGTTGCTGAGAATGGTCTGAAGTTCACTGAGGAGGTTTTGAATCTCATTGAGGAAGTTTTGAAGTTCAAAAGCAATGCGCTAAAATTCCCCTCAGAGGATAATCAGTTGATCAATGAGAATAGGTTGAAGGTCAGTGACGTATCAGGACACAGTACTTGTACCTAATAGTGCCTAGAAGGGGGGAGGTGGTGTTTATTCTGTATGCCCCCGGCACAGCTTTTCTGAGGTTCGAGCTCTCAGCTCGAGCTCGAGTCTGACCTTCAAGTTGAGGGTGGAGGTGGCTTCTAGGACTTTTTCTTTCAGTGTACTCCACCTGTGGGATTATCCTTATTGGGGACGAGTGTTTCTTGATATCTCTTCGACTCATATAACTTGTGTCCTGTGTGTCGACACCCTTTGTTTGCGTCCTATGTGTCGACACCCTTTGTTTGCGTCCTATGTGTCGACACCCTTTGTTTGCGTCCTATGTGTCGAGACTCTTCTTTGCGTCCAGTGTCCCTGGATTTCTTTACCTTTCCTTAGACAGAGAAAGAGGGGAGAGAGGGAAGGAAAAAATGATAGAAGGGGATGTTTGGAGGGAGTTAGGGAGAGAGTGGAGGAGACGGATGGAGAGGGAGAAGAGGGGAGAGAGGGGAGAGAGAGAGGTGGAGAGAGGGAGGAAACTGTGCGAAATAAGAGCGGTTGAGGCAAATGAGCAATATAGACATTAGAAAGAACATTTTCCGTGTCAAGGAACGCACCAGGCAGTGCTGTGGTTGGGTAGGCTGACTCCTCCACAAACACACACACAGGTTCAAACGTTAATATGACAGAGCCCAATAGCCTCAGAAATCTGTTATAATAATTAATTGATGATTGAGAGGCGGGACCAAACAGGCGAAACTGAACCCCCTTTCCCACCCTCCCTTCCGCAAGCACAATTAGTTGAGTACCTTACGTCTCATGCCACATCCAGAGACCAATCCAACATCAGAGACTTCTGTTCTCTATCCAGCTATCCCTCGCTCCAGTCTATCCCATAGAGCTCAGGCCAAGAGGCAAGGGAGCGTCGAAACAGTGAATGTAATTTTTCTTTTGAGGTCCTTTTATTCATGAACCTTATTCAGCCAAGCCATTTCCAGGAAAGCCAGTATATTACTCCAGCAGGGGGCCTCGTAGCCTGGTGGATAGCGCGCAGGACTCGTAATTCTGTGGCGCGGGTTCGATTCCCGCACGAGGCAGAAACAAATGGGCAAAGTTTCTTTCACCCTGAATGCCCCTGTTACCTAGCAGTAAATAGGTACCTGGGAGTTAGTCAGCTGTCACGGGCTGCTTCCTGGGGGTGGAGGTCTGGTCGAGGACCGGGCCGCGGGGACACTAAAAAAAAGCCCCGAAATCATCTCAAGATAACCTCAAGATAGCATATACACTCGTCTGGGGAGGCGGAATGAGAGAGTTCTCTGAGGCCCGTGTGAACGAGGCGCCTCGTTGCTAATAACGATCATTAATGATTTTATCGCTTCCTCCGGAGGCTCTTAGGCCAGGCGGGCGGACGATGCTTGCGGATGGGATGGGGGAGGTGTAGGGGCGTGTAGGATATGGGATGGGAGGTGGAAGGGTTGTTATAGGTGGATAGGGGGGTGGAGAGGTTCCTAGATGTGTTCAAAGTTGAGATGGGAGGAAGATGCTTGGAGACACGGCTTTGATGGGTTATTAAGGAGATGATTGGCATACTCTCCCTCTCTGGTGGCATGCTTTCCGTCTCTGGTGGCATGCTTTCCGTCTCTGGTGGCATGCTTTCCCTCTCTGGTGGCATGCTGTCCCTCTCTGGTGGCATGCTGTCCGTCTCTGGTGGCATGCTTTCCGTCTCTGGTGGCATGCTTTCCGTCTCTGGTGGCATGCTTTCCGTCTCTGGTGGCATGCTTTCCGTCTCTGGTGGCATGCTTTCCATCTCTGGTGGCATGCTGTCCCTTTATGGTGGCATACTCTCCATCAATGGTGGCATACTCTCCTTCTCTGGTCGCATACTCTCCCTCTCTGGTGGCATACTCTCCCTCTCTGGTGGCATACTCTCCCTCTATTGTCGCATACTCTCCCTCTCTTGTCGCATACTCTCACTCTCTGGTAGCATAGTCTCCATCAATGGTGGCATACTCTCCATCTCTTGTAGCATACTCTCCATCTCTTGTAGCATACTCTCCATCTCCGGTGGCATACTCTCCCTCTCTGGTGGAATACTCTCCCTCTCTGTTGGCATACTCTCAATTATCTAGACCACAGTATACATAGCTCCCATAGCCAGCATATACATAATTCCCCAAACCCCATTTCCATCATTGTTCAATGCAAAAGTAGTCTCACTCAGCGCTCATGTTGATACACAGAGCGTCCCAGTTATCCACTCACAGTGACTGGCTGGTCCACTCAACAACCACATCTATACAACTGAATGTGCGACTCTCTAATGTTGAAGGTCTGTCTAAATTTCCCGTGATGACTGGCGAGTGTAAATGGTTGTCACACCAGCCATATGAAGAGGTAATGAAATATTATGGGCCGAGTCCGTAGACTTTAACTGGTCATGACTTAATATTTCACTTAAACCGTGAAACTTTTGGGGGATCGATTCCGAGTACTGCCGGGTACTGCGTGTACTTAGTTCAGTCATTGGTCCCCCTCACAAGAGTACTGATGCGGGGCACATCCGGGCGTCTCCACATCAAAGGCAAATTTAATATCATCAATTGAAGTCACTCAATTTTCGCTGGTGATCATGAGTTAATCAATGAATGTGTCCCCATCATCAATGGGGCTTAACCACTCAATGTGGGCGAATCATCAATTGACATAAACCACTGAATGGGCCCAATCATCAGCCAGAAGTAACCTATGGAAGAGCTTTATAATTATCAATGGGAATTAACCACTAAACGAGTCCCAACCACTAATGGATATCAAGAGGGAAGTTATCACAACTTAACAAAAGCGTCAGATACGAAGTGTTTGACCTTAAGAGAAGCGTACGACCTTGGACGACCAGACCTCTAACCGTCGATGCAGATGATCAGTATCTGTTTTGAAGTGAAATTAACTTTATTTTTAGATGAATGAATCTAAATTTAGATTTATTCATCTAAAAAATCCGGAATTCAGATGAACATTACTCGACGCGAAAAAAAATCAGACTCAGCACTTACTTATAAGCAAACACTGGACGCACAAAATCTAACACAAATTATCATCCACACAAATTCTGAGCCGAATTCTGACTCTCTGCACCTATTTTCATTTTCAAAATACGACTTTTTATACCGAAAATATGCCAATTACTGAAAACGGCGATGGGTCATATTTTGCCCAAACCCCCCTGTAATTTTCATAATATTTGAAATGTCGAAAATTTACTCTTGAGCGTGATTTTTGAGCCGAATTCTGACTCTCTGCACTTATTTTCATTTTGAAATTACTACTTTTTATGCCGAAAATGTGCCAATTAATGAAAACGGCGATGGGTCATAATTTGTCCAAACCCCCCTTCAGTTTTCAAAATATCTGAAATGTCAGACATTTGACTCCAGACCGTGATTTTTGAGCCAAATTCTGACTCCCTGCACCTATTTTCAATTTACGAGTTTTTATACCGGAAATAGGCCAATTATTGGAAACGTAGATGGGTCATAGTTTGCCTAACCCCCCCTGCAGTTTTCAAAATATCTGAAATGTCGGAAATTTGACTCCTGTGCGTGATTTTTGAGCCGAATTCTGACTCTTTGTACCTATTTTCATTTTGAAATTACGACTTTTTATACAGAAAATATGCCAATTAGTGAAAACGGCGATAGATCATATTTTGCCCAAACCCCCCTGCAGTTTTCAAAATATCTGAAATGTCGGAAATTTGACTCTCGAACGTGATTTTTGAGCCGAATTCTGACTCTCTGCACCTATTTTCATTTTCAAATTACGACTTTTTATAACGAAAATATGCCAATTGCTGAAAACAGCGATGAATATACATTTTCTTCATGCTATAGTACATGCTGTAAAATATAGTGACGACAAAGCTCAATATACATGCTGCATAATACCTGTCACATAATACATACCATACAACACGTGTCACTTCAATATGACACGTCATGCTAAAAACAACTTATAAGACAGTAAGAAGACAACCACAACTTACCACACACAACCACAACTTGAATATTTCCACACCCACAACCACAACTTTTCAGACACCACTAATATATTTGCAACGTTGCAAACACGTGAGAAAAATGAAAAATAACATTTCGTTAAATGTCTACTGTTTGCAGCCCCAGGGGGGGAGGGGGGAGGGGGCAAATGAGAGTACAGATAAGATTTGTCTCTTCCAAGGAGTTCGATCTTACTGGGGGGGAAACAGTTGCTCTTGCAGTAAGTAAACTGTATACTGTATATTCTGTTCAATATTGTGTTTATGTTTCTGCCTATATAAATAATCACAAACAGTCTACAACATAGAGTATTGAATCACGAACATAATACAACTCTCTCTCTGGAAAACACAAATGAGTTTACAAAATATATATATATATATATATATATATATATATATATATATATATATATATATATATATATATATATATATATATATATATATATATATATATATATATATATATATATATACATATATATATATATATATATATATATATATATATATATATATATATATATATATATATATATATTACAGAATCCTATATAAACGGTTTACTGTAAAAAGAGCCATCTACATCTTGGACCTCATGAGAATAAAGCAATACGTAACTATTGATTGATTTGTTATTAAACAGATTATAAGGCTGTGTATTTAATATTTCCTAAGTGACCCATTTTAGTAAATTTACGACAAGAGGAACAAAAAGACCGCTGCAGTGCGGTGCTACTTAGAGTTAATATTATAGCAACTTTATTGATCAAATTGATATGCAATTTGGGCTAATCAAGGTATTCAGGTATTTGTTGCAGTGAGGATGGTGGTCATATTCACTGTTGAACAGGAGAGTGAGGACGCTGCTCATATTCACTGTTGCACAGGAGAGTGAGGACGCTGCTCATATTCACTGTTGCACAAGAGAGTGAGGAAGCCGCTCATATTCACTGTTGCACAAGAGAGTGAGGAAGCTGCTCATATTTACTGTTGCACAAGAGAGTGAGGATGGTGGTCATATTCACTGTTGCACAGGAGAGTGAGGAAGCAGCTCATATTCACTGCCACAGCGGATCAGCACAATCCAAGTGATCTGCATTTCAAATTCAGAGTCAGTCGACCTCAGACATGTCTGACGGTAGTAACCTCTGTTGGGCGTAGGTTAAACAAATGAAAGAGTTTGGCTGATTTAAGCAGACGCTGCCTCGTATGGGCCAATAGGCCCATACGCAATTTAATTCTTATAATCTTATGTGCTATATGAGGAGATAATTCAAAGATTAGAAATAGTAATTCTGATTATTAGAGATAGAAGTTATCTTTGAAAACAGATGTAACTCTGGCCCAGGCTATATGAGTATTATGTACTCATATAGGATGAGTACATATGTATTATGTACTCTTAAGATGTAATAGTACACTGCTCTCCTGAGACCTATAGAACTTATACTTAAGTAAATATTTTGTCATTGTTTTGCACGTTTGGCCCATGGAGAAATTTATCACAACTAAGAAGGTGGAGAGGGACTTGGAGGGGGAGTTGAGAGGGAAAGACGTTCGACCTCACACACTTGGGATCCACGGTTCGAGTCTCCAAGAGACCAGGTAAGTGGAATTATCACAATTATATATATATATATATATATATATATATATATATATATATATATATATATATATATATATATATATATATATATATATATATATATATATATATATATATATATATATATATGAGGTTCAATTACTTTCACCTTTACGCCCAAGCTTTAAATAATGAAAAAAAAATACATATTTATCGTACCGAAATTTTGCACTGGAAATAAATGCAAATACATGTTTTGAACTTGGATTTAAACAGCCGCTTAAACTTATTTATTTATATTTATAAATAAACCACATGTTTATTTATTTCATGACATAAATAAACATATGGTTGTCTATTACACTGTGAGTGTGTGTAAGTATAAAAGCGACTTTTGATGAATACTTTTTGTCCTCGTGGCCGCGGCGTGTTTCTCTGAAAATATGCTGGTCTGAGAAAAGCCATTATATAAACCATTAAAAAAGACCATCATCCACAGACGCCACTGACAATCAATAATCCATTGCCCAAGCAACGAGAGAGTTCGGACCAAGACACAATAACCCATTATCAGACCAACAGCGCAGTAGCTCACCCATTATATACCAACACCTTATCAGGAGGAAGCCCGGACCATGGTACAATATTTCTGGAGGTACATATCGGTGGCTTCAAATAGACCGCAAGGTGCAGTTATCCCTAAGATGCATATGTTGCAAGCAATGTGTGTCTGCAGCGGGAGAGATTATTTAACATCTAGGCATTGTCCAAGCAAGCATCACCTAGAATTTCGTTCTGTTACATATGACATGACATGATCCTCTGAATTCAATTGTATGTTTTATTGTGGGAGAGAGAGAGAGAGAGAGAGAGAGAGAGAGAGAGAGAGAGAGAGAGAGAGAGAGAGAGAGAGAGAGAGAGAGAGAGAGAGAGAGAGAGAGAGAGAGAATAACAAGTGGAGCGGATATAAATTACGATAACTAGCAAGGGACCAGCAAGGAAGATGAACTTTTATAAGAAATGCATGTAAAAAAGGTCACAGTTCGGATGGACAGAGAGAGAGAGAGGGAGCAGCAGCTGGATTGACGATAGACAGGAACGTGGGATGGGTGGACAATGAGGGGACAGTTACAGCCCCCCGCTCCTGTGCCAGGTAAGTCCATTACGGGCT